GGGGGGGTGTATTGGGAGGCCTTGACGTGCACAATGGAATTTCCTCCATTCACTTCACATTTTTCAGACTAACAAAGTCAAAGACAACAGGGCAGAAACACTCCACACCCTTCGAGGCGTCTCTGAGGAGCCATAAGCACTTCCAGGTAAAATGGCCAGCAGCATGATCTCACGGGCAAAGAGAGCTGCACACACAAGTGAACACTCTGCAAAAGGTTCACATCAGCAGGTCAGTATGCCAAAAATGATATCTACAATTGTTATATTCTGAAGAAAACATTGTAAGATAAAAAAGAGTGGAGTCTTCCGGAGGTGATTACCACTTTCACCATGTACTGAAGCATAAATGCCATATTTTAACCCTTCTGGCAAAGTTTTACATTCACCCTCTGACTGGCAGTCTGACCTCTACAGTAATGACAATAATAGAGAGCATGAGAACAAATCTCTCTGTGTCGAGAAAACGGGAAGTATATTTTTACTTTTTCTCAAAGGTGGGGTATGTAATTTTGGAGAAACCAGCTCGAGTGCGCTATAATTTGAAAGTACACAACCGGAAAAAATCTGCATCTTCCTTCAGACTTCCTTACAGAGCCCCTCCTCCAACACACACGAACGCGCATATGACCAATGAGGGCACGAGATAAGTTTGTGCACAGATGGAAGGCTGACAGGCAGGTAGGCCATCCAGTTATTTTATCAGGGCCGGCAAAATGATTGGTCGTGCTTTTTAGAGCGCCACGGCTTCCACAGATGACATTTTTTTATGTATTTATTGTCAAAGCATTTAATATATTCATTGCTATCGGGTTGTTAAAGGTGGGGTAGGTACATTTGAGAAACCGGCTCTATATAAACTTTGTGTTATATTCCACGTAATGCTCTTAACATCCCGATAGCAATGAATATCTGAAGTGCTTTGACAAAAAATCCATAAAAAAATGTAATCTGTGGAAGCCGTAGTACTGTAAAAAGCACGACCAATCATCTGAGCCGGCCCGGCTAAAATAACTGGATGGCCTACCTGCATGTCAGCCTTCCATCTGTGCACAAACTTATCTCATGCCCTCATTGGTCATGTGAGCGTTCGTGTGTGTTGGAGGAGGGGCTCTGTAAGGAAGTGGCAGATTTTTTCCGGTTGTTTATTTTCCAAAATTACCTACCCCACCTTTCAGAGCATTCCATGGAATATAACAAAAAGTGTTTCTGAAATAAATTACATACCCCACCTTTAATGATTTCATTTTCGTGCTGTGAGGTGAATGATGCCTATCGCTTTAAATGCACTATCCGCTAAACCCATGCACATCAAATTGGCTTGAGCAAGGCACTATGAGCAGGTGTATTTCAACAAAGCCCTTTAGATAGATTAAAGTCCATTCCTCTCTCCCCTTTACTAGCCTATGAAAACCCTAAAATTAATTATCAATAAAACAAATAGAGTTGGAAGAATTGTGGCTTGTTAAAGCCGCATTAATGCATCACAAACAATCAAACGGTTACATAGTCAACATCATCTAATGTGTTACTGTCCCAAATCACTATTAACATTCAATATCTTTATTCATCTTTCTTTCCATCTGACTTTTTGGGGTTTAAAGATCCATCAATCTGGATATACAGTATGTTGTTACAATCCAATATTATCTACCCAAAAGTAAAAAGAATGACACATATTTGTGTTTCCAGCGCCCTTAGTGTGAACCTTTGTCGCACAAACGTTGCCAAATGTGAAATTGTTATGAACCTAACACTGCAGTGTAAAAAGCTCTTTTCCCCCTATTAACCCTATAAGAAGTCCAGATGTATTTCCTTTTAAAAGTTCAGTTTGGAGAGTTCAAAGGGAAGGTATCCTCATCAATGCAACATAAGCTTGTGTCTATGTGTGTGACACAGGAAGGTGTGAGAAAGAGGGTTTACAGTGCTGCATTTGAGGAAACATCCTTGATGAGGGTTAAGCTCAACTCAGGGTGGTGGTGAGGTTGCAGAAAGAAAGAGTGTGTTTAAACCTGCACAAACACTCACAGCCATATGACCCTTGTGTGCATGTGTTCTCAAGAGGAAGTGAGGGGGAAACCTCCACTTAAGCTGCCATTGTTCAGACCTTCGTGGTTTTTACAGAGGAAGACTCAATTCTGTCAATTATATTTCTCTAACTCACTTTCCCCCTCAGAGGCTTTCTTCTCTTTTATTAATTAGATATACCCTTTTCCTTTATTTGCCCGACCTTTGTTTTGCAATTGATGTGGCTAAACTACATTGAACTTAAATAAATGTACCAATCAAGTTTCACACACAGGCCAGATTTTATTTGTGTTATGCTGCCATCTAGTGTCTAAAACCGGCAACGACTTGTTGGTCCGTTATTTTAATATATAACGTTACACTGTAAACTTGCCAGGCAGGCATACTGTTACTTATTGACTATTTCACTTTATTTGTTAGATTTTGATTTAGTATATTTAAATTATATGTCAAACATGTAAGTGCTGAACAACGTATCAACAGAACGATCGTTTTAGTTTTTTACCCTGTATAGTAAACTGATCATAAAAATAGCTACTTTTGTTTTAGAACATGCAACGATTCGTCAGCCAGTTTAAAAAAGAGACATTAGAAACATAAACGTCTTGAAGTCTTTAAAAACATGGACCAAATGTCATGGTAGGCTATGAACATTACCTATGAGTAATCAAAAGAAACAAATTAAAACTATTATTCTTCTAAATCACATTTTGTAAATAAATAGATTCGTTCACGTATTGCTGGAGGGAACTGAACGTGCAGCAGCTGTGATTGAAACGCGCACAGCTGCTCGTGCATCAATCACAGCTAATTAGCTACACCTGAGGCGGAGCTGTCCTATAAAACCCCCCTGCGGAAGCTTTCATTAAGTTTCACCTTTAGTCAAGCAGCAAGCACGGTTTCGCCCTGCGTAAAACAGCCACTATGCCTACAACGAACGTTGTTGACGAGCGAATCTCCAAATTCAAAAACAAGGGGAAGGATCCAGCAGTAAGTTAATGTTATTTTGTTCACTGTCGTGCGTGTTAATGTTTTTATCAACACTGCATCTCGGTCTCTTGGCAGAAACTTCGAGATAAACGGATCTCTGCGTGCGTGGAGCTGCGCAAAGCTAACAAAGATGAAAACTTCATGAAGAGAAGAAACATCTCGGTGGACCTCTCTTCTGATTACATCTCCAACGAGATGGTCAGTAGGCTACACAGAAAGCCCTACAAGTATGTTAAAACTAGCAGAGCCTCTAACGGTGTTTCTTTCATTTATAGGTGGCCTCGTTAGTCATTGAGGATATCATTAAAGACGTGAACTCCAACTGCAGGGAGTCCCAAACCCGAGGGTGCCAGGCCGCCAGGTGAGGGATCACTTCTAAATGTGTGTTGGAACCAGTGATCTGTCGCACAACACAATAGGGACACAATTAGTTTGCTAATCAGGTAGACACTTTTATGCAGATTTCCCCTGGGGCTTCTAATAAATTGTAACCCTAATCCACTATTATATACTTGCTGGGTTACTTGAATATCTGCCAATTGTTCACCCATTAAAGTAGGTGGGATGGGAAAAACTAGAGCAGTGTTTCCCAAAAGCAAACTTTTAGATGCAAAATCAAACTACAATAAAGTATCCTGTATATTTGATGAGGATTTCTGACCCCAAAAAAAAACACTGGCTAAAAGGTCAATTAAATATAATTTTGGAATATTTCAAATGTATTCTTTAAATATATGCCTGGTAAGACGTATATATTTCCTCCATCCTTCCTCAGGAAGCTGCTGTCTCAAGAGCGTAACCCCCCTCTGAAGGAGATCATAGATGCAGGGCTGCTGGTGTGCTTTGTGTCCTTCCTGAGTATGGATGATGAGCCCAATCTGCAGTTTGAAGCAGCTTGGGCCCTTACAAACATCGCCTCTGGGACATCTTGGCATACTCAACAGGTGTGAACAGTGTTGAAATAGGAATGCTAAACTAATGTTAACAGTGCCATTTATCTAGAACAGGTTATCAGGATCCTTGATAACATCTTGTGTTTAAAACAGACTTGATATATTTAATAATATAAGTGGCTTGAAAGTGCAACATAACTGTTTTTGTGTCTCAGGTGGTGGAACATGGAGCTGTACCATCCTTCATCGCCTTGCTGGCTTCACCCATATTGCACATCAGTGAACAGGCCGTCTGGGCTCTTGGAAACATTGCAGGTTAAATGCAAAATTAATGTTTTATATAGCTAATATTTCTGAGTTTGACATTGAATTAACACAACTGATACATGTTTAGAGTAAATGGTAAAATGTAATGGGGTTCTATCTCTTCACTGTCGAAAGGCTTAGTTTTTAAATGTAATTGTGGTGGTAAACTGAAACTCCATCACAAATGTAACTTCTCTACAGGTGACGGTGCAGTTTATCGAGACATCCTGATTGAGTGCAATGTCGTCCCGGCCTTACTGGCACGAATCAGCCCGGACACACCAGTAAGTTGCAGGCTCAGATTATTCACTCGACGTGTATTTCCTTTTTTACCATTATACTTGAGTGACAACTTCGTAAAGGCAGAACTGCTGCAGTGTTTGTCTAAATGCTTTGATTACTCCAGGTTGGCTACTTGCGTAACCTGACATGGACATTATCCAACCTGTGTCGGAATAAGAACCCGTTCCCCCCCTTGTCTGCAGTCCTGCAAGTGAGTAAAATGCTGGATAATTTATTAACAGCCTTGCAGATTTATTGAAGCTCGGCTCAGAAGATCAACACCCGGTCAAGATGGGTCCAGATTACTAGCGAGATGACTAATGTGCTGTAACTGTTGCCCCTTCAGATGCTTCCCTCTTTGATTCAGTTGCTCCATCTCAGTGATAAGGACATCTTGTCTGATGCATGCTGGGCAATCTCTTACCTCTCAGACGGCGACAATGACCGCATTGATATTGTTGTGAGAACTGGCATCGTCCCTCGGCTGGTGGAGCTCATGAGCCACGAGGAGATCAGTGTCATGGTAGTGTTCTCAAACTCACTATTCAACTCAATTTTAAAACTGGAATAAGATATTTAAGATCTGTTGCTGCACCATCAATGTGAGACAAGTCTCTTTCTGATCATGCAACACAAGTAGCACATCAAACGTTAAAGTAAAGCTTTTGGTCAAACAATAATCTTACCTGCCACTAACTATGGTTCAGTCAATCAGTTTCTTGTCTGCTCTTCAGACCCCGGCTCTCCGCTCAATCGGGAACATAGTGAGTGGCTCGGACCTCCAGACCCAGGTGGCCGTTGATGCCGAAGTTCTAAAAGTCATACCTGTACTGATGAGGCACCAGAAGCCCAGTGTTCAGAAGGAGGCAGCGTGGGTGTTATCCAACATTGCTGCAGGACCATGTAGGCAAATCCAACAGCTGATCACATGTGGCCTGCTCCCTCCCCTGGTGGAACAGCTCAAAAATGTAAGATGAAGCGTGACTTTTGATCCTTTTCCAGTCTAGACATCAGTGGCACTGTAGTATTACTTGAAATTAGTAATTCTTCATGGTAATGTAAACGGGGACTAATTGTTTTTCTTAGGGAGACTTTAAAACTCAAAGGGAGGCAGTGTGGGCAGTGACAAACTTCACCAGTGGGGGCACTGTGGAGCAGGTGGTCCATTTGGTGCAGAGTGGGGCCCTGGAGGCAATCATCAACCTGTTGCAGGTCAAAGATGCTAAAGTCATCCTGGTCATACTGGAGGCCATCAACAACATCTTCATGGTGAGTGTGAAACTTGAACTTCTAATAGTTTTAAACTTCAGTTGGAGAGATGGTTTTGGTTACCTTGCATTGTCTTTTCAGGCAGCAGAGAAGCTCGGGGAGACTGAGAAACTGAGCCTTTTGGTTGAAGAGCTTGGAGGACTTGACCGTATTGAGATGCTGCAGAGCCATGACAATGAGTTGGTGTACCAGGCTGCTCATACCCTCATAGAGAAGTACTTTGGTGATGTAAGTAGCCCATGATTTCAATATTTCCTACATTATTTGAGATGAGGATTAGTGAATGAACATTCTCAAAGTGTTCTTGTATTCTATGTTAATTTGTGAACTTCATTGAAAGTCTTTGAATTAAGCTTATATGTCTGAAGGCATTTTCTAAATGTGACTTATTATTTATCTCTCCTAGGGTGATGTCGTGGGAGTCAAAGTCGAGAGTACAGAGGAAGCATTTGTATTCAAGACTTCTGATGTGAAGAGAACTTTTGAATTTTAAACGTACTATTGTATGCTTTTGAATTCATGTTGAATAAATAAAGGTTGTATATTAACTGGTGAAGTATATGTGCTTTGATGAAGGTTGCATTGGGAATGCTTTTGAAACCTGTTTTTTAAAGGGCTATTAATTGATCCAGGGCAATGTAATGGCCACTGTTATGGATAAAATGATCTGTTAAACTGACTTTCATTGACTTTATTCTAGCCGATTAAAAATAGTTTTAAAGTATTTAAGGGCATTCAATATATTCTTACAGAGGCATCATCATTGCTGATAAACATTTCATGAGCTATGACTTGTGAAGCTAAAGAGTTAAGCAAGCAGTAAAAGGGACTTTTTATTTTACCAGAAGTCAGGTTTCAGTTTACTTCACAAAACTTTTCCACTTGCAAGTAAAAGGAATGGCCTATGCGCACTCATAGCTAATTGGGGTAAAAACAAAGGTAGATTTTTTTTTTTTTTTTAATGTTAACATTACCAAGTGTTTGATTTTACCACCGTCAAAACTGACTTTTAAAATGTGTGGAAACTTACATTTTAATGAATTAAGCACATGTTTTCAATGGCCTAAAAGTGTGTTGACATGCACATATAAAAGATTGTTGCATCAAATTTCAATACAGAGGCGAACAATGTATTTTGTGGTGATCAAAGTATTTAAAAATGACTTTTCTAAATGCCACGGTAACATCGACACACTGACATGTGAATCCGCCGCTGCGGTGTGAAGAGGAAACACCGGTACGTTTCAGGTTCTAGCTCCGAGCCGGCCCTGTAAACACGTTGGTGTGAAAGGGGCAATAGAGACGCTTTTGAAAAGCTCTGATGTCCAAAAGGAGTGTTGCCTCACAGGAGGCTACATCGGACTCATCTTCAGAGTCTGAAGCACCTGTAAATGTTCAGAATACCTCCAATCAGGCTGCCATGCAGAAGACCACAAATGCCTCACTCCATGTTGCCTCTGGTCTGTCTTTTCATCAGAATCCCCCTCAGCTTGTCTCTGGACTCTGTGGACGACATGTATTACGGCTGCTCCCACAAGATGCTGATCAAAGTAAAACAGGGGAAGGTTTGCACATGTACACAAACCTTTGTGCTGTTAAAGCCATGATGAATAAAGACAACTATGATCCGCTGTCTTTTAATCACTTCTGGGCTCTGTGTGCCTACACAGGTGGGTCGTATGGAGAGTTGAACCGAGCAGTCCGCAGGGGGAAGGCTTCCTACGGGACCTCGTTTGAATTCCACTGCCTCCACTTCCTGCTTTCTGATACCATCCTGCTCCTAAAACTCAACCAAAGACGCTGCTTCACCACCTACAGGAGGAGCAAACTGCTCTTCAGTGGAGAACCTGGACAAACTATGCGCTTCGGTTCATTCGCCTCCAGCTCTCTCAGCAAGGACCTACGACAGTTTGGACAGGGGACCTGCTTTGAGATACGCACATGTTTCAGTGCCTACCTCAAGTCCTATTCAGAGTTTGATTCAAACGAGGATGAAGTATTAATTCCTCCGTATGAAATGTTCAATATTGTATCTGTGGACACTTCAGGACAGAACCATTTACACTGGAGACGGCCAGACTTTACAGCAGTCTCAACTGCCAGGCTGTGGAGCCTTTTAGAAGTTAACACTTTGTTTAATAAAGTTTAACTGTCACCAGATCAGCAGCCACATTTCTATTTTGCTTCACAATCTTGAGTTTATTAAAACAATGTCTTTCTTTTTTGTATTTATTATATATTTTTATTATAAATATATTTGTGCTGAAGACTTTTCCTTAAAAAGTCCTACATTTTATTTTACTGTTTTTATTATCTTTTGTTTGTATTTGACATTGTGGGAGAAGCCAGTGTTCTCAGTGAGATCTTACAAACTCAATCCGAAGATCATTTTATAAACGACAGCCAGGGACATGGTGTCATGTTAAGCAAAAAATAGAAGCCCAAACCTGTCCCCGACTGAAGAAAAACAAGAAATAAAAAAGGACAAGTCTCAGTACAAATAATTATTCATTAATTTTGATTAATGGAATTCACATAAAGCCAAATCAAAACTAACATACAGAACTCCTTAAGGCAACGTTTACATCACAACAAAAATCATTTAAAGGTCCCATGTCATGCTTTTCCGGTTATTACCCGTCCCCTGGTGTGTTATGAAGGTTTTTATGCATGTAAACGGTCTGCAAAGTCACAAACCCTCAAAGTACAACCTGTAGCGAGTAAAACTCTAACGCAGCGTGCGTTGAAGCTTGCCGGCGGGAGTGTCTGAAGCTCGACCAACAACCAATCACATGAATCTCCCGCCTCGGACACACAAGCACGCGGTTTGATTGGCTATAGCTTGTACTGGCATGAAGCGAGCGAAGCGACGCTCCCACAATGCTTCACAGTTCGACACACACACACACACACACACACACACACACCCACACACACACACACACACACACACACACACACACACACACACACACACACACACACACACACACACACACACACACACACACACACACACACACACACACACAGCGAGGCTGTGAGTCAGTGTGAGAGCACACACAAATTCCCAGCCAGGCTGCGTGTGTGCGTGTTCGGGCTGGGTTTCGCAGACGGCCACATGGCTCATAGGAAGGGGGGGGGCAGGAGCTCTAACAAGCCGTTTAGGACAGAGTGAATACACATACTATACAGAGCTGCTGTATGAGAAACCAATGTGATTTTGGAAAATTGCACAATATAAATCTATTTTAGTAGACCTCAACAATGGAATTATGATCAGTAGAAATGGCCATGACATGGGACCTTTAACAAAAATGTAAACATGTTTTAAACATATGCAGTAATTGTGGTATGAATATCTGGACAATGTCAGTTATAGAGAATAGAGAGAGAACACTGATTATATTTTAAAAATATATAAAACATGACCTGTGACCCAGTACGGGCAAGGTGAATAAAGCCACAAAGAGGATATTGAGTGAAGCTCAATTTTGACATGACAGTGAACACATCACAGAAAAACGAAATTCAATTTCTTCTCCAGTTGTATCAAGGTCTCCAAAACTCAATATTTTACCCAAGACGGTATTTTCAAGTTCAATATTGTGTCTTTCCTGGTTGGTACATTGCCAGAGTAAATCTCCATATTCCACAAGAGAAACAGGAAGTGTTGCAATAGGCTGTGAACCAGAAAGGCAATTTGCTAAAAATATACAATTGTTCAAGGCAAGGTCAGCTGTTTAAAAAAGAAACCATTGCTGACACTGACCTGTTAGTGTCACACAAGAGAATGAATGTGTGGCTCCTTGTGTGTTTTATTAATAATAAATAATACCCGTAACAATCAGTGTGTATGTGTTTATGTGTGTTTGAGCGTCTACATTTTCTCGTAGCTGAGTTCCTGTCCGCAGGTGGTGCAGGTTTTCTTGTAGAGGTCCTCCTCCTCATCCACTACCTCCTCCGGTCCGTACTGATGTTGGTGGACGCTGGTGTCTTTGGTCCACATGCTGCTCCTCACCGCCCGGCGCAGCTCTGACACACATCACACATGAACATTAAACATAAATATTATCGAGTTGATGCTCACACATCATAATATTTATGTGTCCACAGTCACTGGCTGTTTCTCAATCGCGAGTACACATGCTGCAGAGCAACTATTTCAAGTATGCTACGTGAGAGTGGCGCAGAATGCTGGGCATTTAAAATGCATTTAAACAGTCCTTCGGCGCCCCTCGATGACGTAGTATACTCTAAATAGTTGCTCTGCAGCAGTTAGACTCGCGATTGAGAAACGGCCACTGACTCATACAGGAAACCGACCTTTGACTTTCTTGTTGAAGCGCTTTTGCTTCTGCACCTCTTTGTTCTCTTCTCTCGTCTCTTTAGCTTCCTCCAAGGCTTCCTCAGAGCCCCACACCTCCATACATCTCTTCTCCACCTGGGAAACAGAAATATAAGAACTGTAGTTCATATAGACTCAGGAAAACATACATAAGGCATTATTTGTCATGTGACCAAAATGTTTGTGGCTTTGATTTAGGGATGCAACTAATGATTAACTGTATTGTTGATCAGTCTATCTATAATTTAGTTCTATATATGTGTATTATTTTCCTGCTAAATAAATGTTTCATAGCCCAAGATTCAATATTCAGATTTATTGAAAAGTCATGCAATATAAAAAGAGTAAAGCTGACACAACAACAAATTCAACTAAAAATACTTTCAAAAGAGTTAATTAATTATGTGATGACTATTCGATCCTTTCATTACTACTTTTTCATCACAGCTTGATAATATTTTGTTATTTATAGATTGGTCTAAACATATTTTTTCTTCTTTTGGAAAATGTTGGGCAGTTCCCACATTTCCACTGACTTTACCAAGACAAATGTAATTGATATATTATTCTTAAATGATATGGTTCATGACGTGATTTTGATCATAGTTGTAATGCAATATTTGCAATTAAAAATGTTAATGTATGTATAATGTATTATAGTTTTTATTTTCCAACTTGTTATGTAGACGTATTTACTTATTTAGAGCACTTAGAGCACAAGGAAAACACTGGATTCTTCCGGCTCCGTTCACAGAAAAAAAAATGATATCATTAAAATGATCAGAACATTGATATTGATAGAAAATTGACACATTTGCCCACCAAAACACACACACACGTTCCAGCAAGTACCTGTACTTTGAGGTACAGCTTCATGTCTCCCCAGGTTGGGTTGTGAGGGTTTTTCTTCAGGGTGAACCTGAGTGGAGGCTCTCTCTGGTCGAGGTCACAGTCCTTCAGCAGGTACTGCTTCTTCGCCTCAGTTCTGGAGATCAGCTTATGCTTCTCCTCGTTGTCTCTGAGGGCAAAAAGGAATCCACTGTTAATACCTGTGATCTGATTCAGTCAGGTGAGTTTAAATAAAAGTTACAATCTGAAGAAAAACTAGAATTAAACCCAAGACAAAAATAAAAAGCTGAGTACTGATTATCGGGGTACTTTGACAACATTTCACAGACTATTGACAGTCAGGGGATGGTCACATCACAAATCCAACTGTTTTTATTTGTAAACGTTTCAATTGATTTCAGTCATTTCCACGTCACGACTTCAAATCAATGAAGTACTGTAACACCTCTTGTTTCAATAGCTTCTATATTATGTGAGGTAATCACTCTAAATGACTTTTGAATTGTAGTGCTACACTGGACAAGGAGTCACCTCTATTTTATGTGATTATAGGTTTTTTAAAGTTATTTTAACATTCTCGGGAATTCTGCAGGTTTTCTATCCTTATCCTAACACATCACCTGATATCAGTGCGGTGTGTGTGTGTGTGTGTGTGTGTGTGTGTGTGTGTGTGTGTGTGTGTGTGTGTGTGTGTGTGTGTGTACCTGCACTTGTCACAGACAGACAGGTCAAAGCTGTTGCTGAGGTATGAGTCCATAAAGGGTTTTAGACAGTCATCGCACAGCAGGTAGTCTGGCTCTATTACTGGAGCTGAAAACAAAACAACTCTTAATACACATGTGAGTAATAAAAAAAGCATGCATGTACCCACTCAAGTCAACAAACAACACACAATCACACTCACCTGGCTGATGCACAACCTTCCTGACCCTCTGCTCTTCTTCTCCGTAACCCTCCTCCTCGATGAAGAAGCCGGCTCCAGAGTCGATGGTCTTGGAGACTTTGGCCGACGTTGCTCCCTCCACGGCGGACAAAGAGCGGCTCGCTAGTCGGGCTTGCCGGAGCATCAACGCCTGCTGTCGGTTCCTCTCGATCTTAGCCCGCATCGCTGCAGAGAGTTCGGGTTTGGAAGTGTGTGGAGAGGAGGGCCCCGGTGCACACACTCCCTCCGACTCTGACGGATCCATGCTGTTCTCTCAAACAGCGATCATCATTTAGAGATGTACAAACGGCGTGTTTTGTTACATTCAATTCAGCGTTAGTCTGTTTTTAAAGTTGCATGCTTCCGGTTGTGTCTTCTTCCTTTACATTTTGAAAGTTTTAAGAGCATTACCGCCACCTGCTGTTCAGGAATTAAAAAGACTAGAGACTTCTGAATATATGAAATTAAATTCCAACTTTAAAATGTTCTAATAGTTGTAGACGTTCCTGATAATTTACGCTGTGCCTGTCACTTTGAATGGAGGATTAATGGCTCGTAAAAACAGTTCTTTTTTTAATTAAAGGGTAGGCATACCTTTTTTTGTTCATCTTAAATATTTGTATTCAGATGCTAATGGCTGTATTCAAAACGTTTTCAGTTATAGCAGTTGTCCACAGAGCCACAAAGAAACCTTCATTACTTCTTTAAACAGTAGACATTTTCATTCCGTGATGCAACTCATGCGCTATAATGCATACGTGCATTTTCAATGTAAGTGATTTGGGACAATATCCACAGCGTTTATTTTGTGTAGAGCTGACTAAAACCAGTGCAGCTGCTAAGCCTCGAATGGATTCATCATGTTCTTCTTCTTCCTTCCTGTGACACTAGAAAGCAGAGGTGAGTGAGTCCTGTATTTGTCATCCACAGGTGTTCAGTGAATCCCTGTTGCATCACGGTGATCATGGCTGAGGGCCACACTTGCTGCTGTGAGAGGCTTAATTGTGTCAAAGTAAAGCAGATCTTGATGATGACATTGCAAATCTGTGCGGTGTGGTGAGGGAGCTTAAGGTAAAGTGACCTGACTTTTAAAGTAGTGTGTTTGATTTAAAATGTTTAATGACCCAAGCATTGATTATATTGGGTATTTTTCTGTATTAAAGCAATAATATAATAATAATAAAAGCAGTATATCAAGATCTTTGAGGATACTTTAAATTATATATACATTCTGACGTTTAAAACCAACTCATGAAGGTGTAGCATTAACCTATCCCAAAATTCCCATGAACTCGAAATGGCAACAAAGAAAATTTGAGGTTTGATTTATTTGATCATTTAACACTTTATACAGAGTTGAATGATAAATGTTTTGTTTACAGTAGGCCTATAATACACAATTCAAGTAGTACATGAATGTTTTCCATACTTGCATATAGTACACGGAAATACAAAAGCATTTTACCATTTGTCATGGTATTCAAACGGGTCAAGGATGAATAATTCTATATATTTCTAAATGCATTCATTCATACATTCATTTCTCACATTCACAGGATCCATCAAAGCAAGGGAGATACTAAGTGTTGAGTGTGATAATAGAAGTTGTGTTGAGGTTAAACTATTTGTCAACTATGGTTAAACACAGAAGCATATAGTCTTAAATTACAGTTTACACATACTTTATACACATAAACAAACAAAAAAACACAAATGTTTTACTTTGCAAGGTATATGGATTGTTTCGAGGAAATTCGATTGAGAATTTCACTTTCAATTGATAAAGAATTAGTTAAAATAAACATGCAAATACAAAATGGATTTTGGCTAACACTGTGACACAACATTTTAGTGTTAACCCTTGGGATCCATTCATTTAAAAATGAAATAATTTGTTGGAGGAATCTGAAAATAAATATAATTAAATGTTTGCGTTGATAAGAGGTTGTACTGTTAACACCTGAAACTTTTAACATTGCTATGAGAAATAAAAAGCAGAGGGGGATGTTATTCAGAGATGACTACAGTACCTTTATTGACCATCAACTCCAAGGCTCATGGAACATGTTGAACATAGCTGGGAGAGTAAAATATTGCCTACATTCACATATGAGACAAAGAAAGCAGACAACATTAGAAAAACAATGATGTATTTTGATGCTTTTTGGAGGGCAATTAGTTCAACTGATTTGGGCAACGTTGATAGCACATTTGTTTGACAATGAGACCTTAAATTGGTCAGTAATAATACAGCCTCGGGTCAGTGAGAATGTTCCCTTGTATGTTAAAAATAAAGAAAAAGAAAACCTCATGAAAAAATCCACCTACATTTAAAAAAACAAAGAGAGAAAAGAGGTAATGGAATCTGATTCTTTGAATCACAGAAATGTTTTCATTCTGATATTCTTGAATTGTTTAATTTCTTTTGCAACCTCTTCAGTAAATGTGCATTTCGATTAGTGGTTTAATTTATTAGAGGTTGAGGGAAACACCCATTTTAATATAAAGATGCCTAGATGTCAACATATCATTACATTATTTGCTTTTTGCTCACCTTAAATCTAATAAAGAGGGAGTAGATGAGAACAAAATAGCCTGAATCTTTGCAACATGTTTTGTTTTACATAAGATATGCCTACTTGATGTTTCTTATAATAGTTGGATAAAAGAAAAATATTTCAGCCTCTATGCCACACACTGAACACATTATGTTCATGCTATGTGAACATAGCGGTGCAATATATTATACAGTACAAGTGTTGTTTTACATCAATCCAATACAGGACACATCCAGTGATACCTGGTGATATTGAACACACATTTTTACAAATACATAATTAGAAGAAAAAAAACAAGAAAAAAAACGTTTGCGTTCATCATCCATCCATCCATCCATCTTCTCCCGCTTATCCGTGGTCGGGTCGCGGAGGTAGCAGTTCCAGCAGAGAGCCCCAAACTTCATCAAGTAAAATTAAATGAGAAACACTAATCTTTAGTCAAACGCTTGTTGTCCACACTGCATCATCTACTGGTAAATGTGACACCAGACCTGGTAGATTTCCATGAGGAAAATCCTCCTGTTTTAGTCAGGATACTGAAGTAATCTCTCTAAAGTGATGCATGTAAAGGCAAACAGAACAGAAGATATTATTAATACTAATATAAAATTAGTTGGGCTGTGTTGAGCTTAATGGGTCCATGCTATCTATTTGGACCTATTATAGATTTTCATGATTGGGAAGTAATGTAAGCATTTATGCCAAACATTTGAATATACTGTGTTTTTCAATATATCATCTCAAATATACTGTGTTTAAACAGACTCATGTTATTAACCCGGGGTATATCTCTGTCAATCACATTGCAAAGTCATACTGGAGGTGAAATGAACACAGTTAAAATCTAAACGTTAACATTTCTAAGCAGCTATCACACTCATGAGTTGCCCCGGCCCTTTCTTCTTAGTTTTGCTCATGACAAACAGGATCTCTCCAGAGCTTTGCTCCCCATCGAAACCAAACCAAAACAAAAGGGTTTCTATAATCTCCCACATGAACAGTTCATCTGCATTGCTTGACTGGTTGCATGAGTAGCGAGGGTAGTTTTTATACTGCAACATGGTCCTCTATTTGAAGAAAACCCCAAAAACAATCTCTGGTGATCGTATGGAAATTCCCATCCCAGGTGGCGTTCACATAACTTGTTTGTCAGGTTCAACCAGAAAATGGAAAACTGAATGAAGTCACATGGAACAAACAGAGACGAGTCACTCATACTGGGTGGCATAAAGTGTGTCAATGACGTACAGGCTCGTTCTGTATGCCATTGCTGGATGGCTGTGATGCACCGGTGTGAATTTGCAGCCTTGATTTCAGTCAGTACCCCTGCCTAACTTGCGTGTGTTTGGATGTGTGAGTGTGTCTTCTATTATTTATGTGAGACAGATAGACAGTTTGTGTCTGTGCGTCCTTCCTCTCCTATAGTAAATCAGGGTAAACTTGAACCCCTTCGCTCTTAATTTCAGCTCTCTTGCGTTAGGTGGAAGTGGCTTCTCTCAGACGGTGATGGGGCAGGTAATGATTTTGTCCTCCAGCATGACGCTGAGGACCAGGAACACAACGTACAGCAGGAACATGAGAAGGCCCAGAAACTTGCTCATTTTCCATTTGCAAGCCGCGATGGAGATGATGACAAAGAGGAGCATGAGGAAGAGTAGGACGATGGCGCAGAACAGTCCGTTGCTGCTGACCTGGATCGGTTTGAAGTCGTTGATGATGTGGTAGATGAGCCAGGGGAATGGCAGACTAGAGGGAGATAAGGGAGTTTATTAAGTTAGGAGAGAAACATGTTAAAAACAGATATGACTTTGGACTATTACTCTGTATGCTTTTTCTTGTTGTTTTCTGGACTCACCCCACAGTGATATCAAAGATGTTGGAGCCGACAGAGCTGGACACGGCCATGTCACCTAGGCCTTTTCGCGCCACAATCACACTGGTGATAAGGTCCGGGATTGAAGTGCCAGCTGCTAGTATAGTCAGTCCCATTATCTCCTCCGTAATCCAGAACGTTTCTCCAACCTGAAAGGAAGAACAAGTTGCAGCTGCACAGTTACCAAAACTGCATCATTTTCATGTTGGTCCAAAGATTCTTGTACTGTGTTGCTGTTTTTTTCTGAAAAATGTCAGACTAGGCGGTTACCTCTGGGGTTGAAGAATGAACTTGGATGTGCTAAAAACTGAAGTTATAAAATGGGCACTTGAGGCTGATTCCAAAAGGGTGTCAGTTTCCACGGACCACTATGTTAAAATGCCCGACTTTGCAGCAGAAATTCAGATGTAAGCAGCTTGTTTAAAAAAACATATTTTGTGTTCTGGAGCTTATTTTCCCGTTCATGACAACTGTATTTATATCATAAATAAGGGCATCATCATGGAGTCTTAAACATTACTGTTTAGTGATACATTTAATTAAATGTAACCTCATAATAAATAAGTTGACTTGTGATATTCATTATTCTATCCAACAGATATTATATATATTATATATATATTATATATTATTATATATATATAATATTATATATATTATATACCGCGCTCTGCATTTATTGGCACAGAAATGGCACGTGCATCTCCTCAGTGACCTTGCATACAACATTACCTTATGCTTCAGGCCTGTCTTTGCATCTGCGCTGTTAAAATAGAGTAGTACAGGTTGATCTGGCTATGGATCAAGGCGGGTCAGCTGGGATTAGCTGCCGTGGTCACACATTCAACACCCTGAATGCTGCACTGACTCATAAGAAAGGCCTCAGGAAAAGGAGAGAGTTGTTGTATGAGAGACAAATAGAGAGAACGTACCTGGTGAG